ATGAGGTGATACTTACAAATCAATAAAATAGGCATGACATAGTTGACATGATACTGAATCACTAAAAGAAGCAAAGCATAATAATTATAACACCAAGATTTCATGACAAATACACCAAAAGTAATACTACTGGTATCACCACAAATCTGCAAATAATATTTACTGCACCTTCTAATATTAGTACATGTATAGTGAAACCAATTTTTCCTAGTAAAATATAGGTATTCAAACATATGTAACCAATCATATTACTTTAGGAGAACTACTACCTCACAAATCCAGCCCTCCAAGATACTACTTTTAGCTAAGTTGCCTGCTGACCTAGATGGCAGTCAGAAAGAGTGATCTCCCCTTATGTATTAGGGATTGGTTACTATGGTGACACACTACAGTTTAGTATTTAGCATAGGGTTAGAATTTTAAAGAAAAAAAGTTTCCCCGGGTTTCCTCTAGTTATACTGGCTATTTAAAAAAGACTTTGTTTATCTTAGGTATTGATCAAAGAACTTTTAAGTACCTTTGGTGGCGCTCTACAGTTTCGTATTTAGCATAGGGTTAGAAATTTAAAGAAAAAGAGTTCCCCCAGGTTTCCTCACTAGTTATAAAAGAGACTTTGTATATCTTAGGTATTGTTCAAAGAACCTTTAATTCCCTTTATTTTGATGTATGATTGATGGGTTTAATATGGGTTAGAGAATATAAAGCTTGGCCTTACTCCAGATGTGCACCTTTCAAAAAAGTGCTAGCTCTACTTGCTCATTTTCACTTCTCGAACTTCAGAGGTAAATTGTAAAAAAAAAGAGCCTATAACTTTTTTTACATTTTATGTATTTGGTAATTCATTCATTGCACTTTTAGAAGCTGGTATTGTCTAGTTTGGCAAAATCCACTGTCCATATTTTAATAGCTGCCATAATAGTGTACTTTAGACAAATTCTGGTTGATTTTTGGAGCACAAAGGAGCAGTCATTTTAGTTAGCAGTGTCCTAAAATCATTTAAAATTTTCAAAAGTACAATATCCAAAGAATTTTCAGCCACATTACAATAAAGTAGCATATAGGTATGCCAACATTCTCTCCACTGTGCATGTTTAAAATGCAAACAACTTCACCTTACATACATCACTCTCTCAAAAGTACATAAAAACTGGTGAGTGCCACCTATTGGAGCGGAAGGTACACACTCTATGGATGTAACTGTAGGGAGGTTGGTGTATGTGTATTATGATCGGGTATGTATTCTTGAAGCATTTTACTATGACAAAAACATTACCCAATCATATTACCTTAGGAGAATAGGTAAGTGGTGGAGGGATGTATATCCTATTATTCCAGAGATATAATCTCCAGTCCCCTGAGGTATGTGATACAACTTCTATGTATGTCAACTGGAGGGACTCCATCTGTCAGAGCCCGACTTAAAATAGGGAAAAAATTTCCCCACAACTACAGCAGAAGTTGTGAAGCCACGTCTTAAAAAAAGCTGTTAGTTGACCTGAAGGGTAACCTGTTCTGCTGCAGATATAGGTCTCACCAGATAGAACTGGGCCCTTTGAGATGACAGATCTTCGAGAGAATGTGGACTCTGATCTCCATCCCAGGGGTATCTAGCAAGAGAACAGGTCTGGTCAAATATGCTGGTGACAACTGCTCTAACCTCATGAGCCAAAATGCATAAGAAGTTCATTTGAGCTGGGGTTATTATTTCACAATAAGCAGAGTGAACACACCACTTAATCCAGGATGAAATAGTCTGTGTTGATATAGCCTTCTGTTCTTGAGAGTTAAAAATAGTGCACGATCTCCTTTGATGCAGTAATTTTGTTCTATTAAAATACCTTTTCAAAGCCTGAACTGGGTCTTGTAGGTGGTCTTGAGTTGTGTCCAGACTAGACAGAGGTTGCATGATGATAATTTGGATATCTTTGGAAGGCAGACTGCTTTTAGTGACAAAAAGGAAGACTGACCCATCTTTTCAGAACTGCATGTAATTCAGGTCTGCTGACTGGGGATGTATTTACTAATTCTGCCCATGGTCACTATGCCATGAGATAGCTGGTCGTCTATAAAAGGTGTGCCCTAAATGCCTTTGAGAGTGGTTGACAAGGTATCTTGTTCAGCCAGGTTAATAATCAAGACAATTTCCACTTTGGGCATAGAGATAACATTTTTCAGCCGTGTAAACTCAAAGATGGAGAGTAGGTCAGATAAGTACTTGTTTTGTCCAATATTTTCTCTTCCATCATGATAAAAGGTGTCAGTGATCATGAAATGATAATCTTTCACTGTACATTCTTTCGTGAAAGAGCCAGAGAAAGTTAGATATTTGTGGAATCAATGCTTTGAGAGATATGATGTGTTCGTTTGTGCACCACTATGTGAAATCATGCCATTTATATTTGTATCCTTTCAGAGTGGAGGGCTTTGATCATATAGTGAATCTCTCCATGACTGGTTGAACCATTTATTTGTGAGAACCTTTTTAATATGATCCAGACATTGCAGATTCAGTAGGTCTTGGTATGAATGAAACAAATGCCATCGTGGATGTTTCAGTAGAATTTTCTAAGGAGTTTCCATTGTGAAATTTACTTCTCCCATCTGAATGGTGCAATGAAAACAAGGTGACACTCTGTTTCCCTTGCTTTCTGAATCACTTTGGAATAAGAGGTGCTGGAGGCATATGCACCCAGGCCATTTGAATCTACTGATAGAGCAATAATTGCCTGGAACTAGAGACACAAAGGTTGGAAGTTTGGTATTCTGCCTTATTGCACACAGCTCCATAAACAGTCAGTCCCAATGGGTACATATCTGACTGAAAACTGAGGGATGAAGAGACCATTCTATCTGCATTAGTTGACTGTTTCAGGACATACATGGATTTGTTGCTGACAACACCATTTTAGAAATTCACACCCTGGTGGGAGGCAAGGGCCTGGGAACGTGGTTCCTCAATGTTGTTTAAGATAAGTTATCAATGCAGCCCTGTTGGACAGAATGAGAACTCCCTTGCCACTGGGGCCATTATTTCCAGAATATTGATTATGTAGATCTTGTTCCTGGAGAGACCATGCACCATTGGATGGTAGAAGGTAGACCCCCCAGCCTTCTGTACTTGCATCAGTATAGATTGTAATCTTGGGCTGTTGTATTTGCAGAGCTATACCCACAGTGAGCCAAATTATGATGCCCCAATTTTGCAGATGGTACCTCAATTGTGTGCAGATGGGGAGAGGTTGGTCCAGTGGGCAAACTTTTGGACTCCATTGGGACAGAAGAATAATTTGCAATGGGCACATAAAAAGGTGACCTAGGACAATGAGGTCCACTGCCATGTTGAGCAAAATTAGCAGGTGAAGAAATTTCTGCGTGGATACAATTCTCCTTGAAAGGAAAGAAGCCAGCTTGGTTTGGATTTTCTATGCCCAACCATCAAAAAAAAACTATGTTGCCTGTGTATTGAACTCTATGCCAAGGTGAAAAATTGTTGAGATGGTACTAGGTCAGATTTTTACTTGTTGACAAGAAGTCCAGGATGGTAAGCAGTGTAACCAGGGTTATTATGTCATCTTTAAATATAACTCACCTGATGTTTTTGTAGGAAGTCATCCAGGAAAGTTGATGTTGCCACTATAGAAATGGTCTGGAATGTGCCATTTCTTGTTTCATCATATGAGTGAAGACCAAGGGGCTGATGTAAAATCCAATGGAAGTGTCCTGAATTGGTATAAGATACTGTAGGCAAATTGCAGGAACATCCTGTAAGCCTTGTGAATAGGGACATAAAGGTAAAGAAGATAAGCTATGTCTGTTGGAAGATAGCCATATCAATGAAGTCCAACATCAAAGCCATGCCAACAATTTTGCACACTAACTGCTGAGTGTCATCAAAGGCCATCCAATCAATATGTATATAAGTGTGGCTTTGTCATTCTCAAAGCAGCGACATCACTGTCAACTGCTGAGATTTCCAAATGAAAAATGGTGTATAGCTAAGGTATAACCACCAACAAAGTAATTGATGATGGTAGGTCAAAATGTCCATAACTTCCTTAGACTGCAGTTAGACTCTTCAATTTCATCATAAGATCAACAGATGCTCTGGTCCATGTTGTTGAAGGAGTGGCATAAGGAGGGTATAGCTCTGGTGGATCAAAGGCAGAAAATGTCCTCATCAGAGGCTTGAAAGGTGGAATTTTCCCATGACATTAGATAGTCTAGAATTTATGACATCACTTGAGAACAAACATCTTGGTTGCATGAGGTGAGACAAAAGTCTCCTGTAATGCACAAGACTTAGCTGGTGAAGAGTGATGAGGTCTGCCACTCACTAAACTCTTAGAATGCCCTGAGTAAGAAGCCATAACTTTGACACAGATGCAGAGTAAAGAGTGTCTTCTTGTGGCAGAGTGTAGAGAGATTGTGAAGTGACATCTGTTGAAACATGAGGAACTGAGGAACTAATCTTGGCAATGTGCCTAATGAGTGTCTTGAGGAGGTAACTGGGTTAGACTGGTTCCTGTACATGTCTGCAAAAGTCAGGTTTGATGTACTGGAGACTGGATTGTATGTAATTGAGCCTGAAATATTATCATTTTGTCCCTTCATGATCTCTATTATATGGCATGGGCTGGTTGCAAGGGAAATAGGCCATTCTTGTTGGGAGGATATAATCAGGATTGTCAGGTTGAGATGGATTACCAGTCTGTATGTCTGCCGAGTGACAGGGAACTTGGCTGTTTGTGTGTGTGTGTGTGTGTGTGTGTGATTTGGACATGTAATTTAGCTTTAACAATTTTAGCCATATTGCTAGGATGTCTGCAGTGTGGCAGTTTATAGTGATGTCTAGCACTGGGGCATCATGCCATCGACATGTAGTATGATGTCCCACCCAGTCACATTATCCTGACACGAGACCAACAAGTTCTAACACTAACCTCTTAATGCTGAGCACTCAGTAAGGCAGCTGAAAGTACCATTTTTATATGTCTTTGGTATGACTCTGCTGGGGATCAAACCTACATCCTTCTGCATCCAAGGCAGAAACTCTAACCACTAGGCCACTGGAGTGGTTACTTTGCTGTTTGTTTTGCTATGCCCCTTGCTGTTCTGTAACAGGAATAGAGACAAACGCTTTGGAGGCATGGTAGAGGGTGTTGCCGATAATGCTGAGTCCTGTGGTGATAACTTGAGTGCTGGAGCTGATCTGGATAATGTCAATGTCTGGCCCGAGTTGACTGAAGGGCAAGAGTTAACTTGCCTCCCCTGTCCACCATAAATTCTCCCTGAGAAAATGTCAGCATGCAGACTCTGATGTCTTCATTCTTAGGTGTGAATTTCTGCACTTTGCCCTTTGTTCTAGTCTAAGACAAATAGAATAAATAATATCAAACTATAGCTTTGCACCTGTCTTTAGAAAATAATGTCAGTTTAGATCTAAATCTTAAAATGTTGACTCACATTTTGATAACAGACAGTCTAATAATGCAATGAAGCATAATGTAAAATATAATGGCAATACCACCTGTGAGGAGAAGTATGAATTTGTGGTCTTGCCCATGTACTGTTTAAATACAGAATGGATGAAGCTATAGCATGTATAGGTAGAATCATTGAAGTATGGTGTTCCAAGGTTTTGGATGCATTGGTAAAGAAAACTCATCTGTATGTATCAGAAATGATAAAATTATACATAAATAAAGACTTTCTTAAGGGCACATATGTATAAATATTGTAGCCTGAACCTATCTTGTGAAGTTGCATAGGTTACCAGTGTGAATGACTAAGCATATCTTAAATAGGATGGAATGCTTAATCAGATAAATATCACTCAAATGTCTCCTATAGAAACATGCATGAGCATGATGCAACTGAGTAAATCATGTGCAGAAACCTTCCCTGTACATATCTGACCACAGCAGAAGCAATACAGAAATGTACACCAGTGTCTGTATTACACACCAAAACCTTCACATAAAAGAAAACTGAGGCACTGTTACAGATACATACAAAGTAGGTGGGACAATATCTATTATGAGGCAACTGCCTATAGGGAAAAAAGCCCACAGACTGCTTGTACATGTCAATTCACTGAAGTTGGCACCTAGACACTATGAATGCCTTGGAATAGAAACTGATATATATTCATTCATAATGGAAATACATATACTTTAGGATTTTTTAGAAGCACTAGAGGCTTGCACATACATAAAATAATTACAGCTTGAACTTAATGTGAGGTTGCTTAGACTTTAGACTGTCATGACAACATAGTGTTGGCAAAATGTAAAGGTAACATAGGAGGTGAAAACACTGAAAATATAGATGGAGTATACTTTCAATAGAAATAAAAAAAAAATCCTCAAACTTTTAATCATACATCTTCCATGTAGATTCTGGCTTTTGTGATGAGAGCATGCTTCTTGGCACATGTGGAAGCAGTAATTAACAGGTTCATGGGTTTTGTTACCAATCCTTACATCTAAGAGGATATCACTCTGCCAGACTGTTATCTAGGTCAGCAGACAACTTTTCTCTCCCTTTAGCTAAAAGTAATATCTGGGAAGGCTGGATTTGTGAGGTAGTAGTAGTTCTCTTAAGTTATTATGATTTGGTAACATATATAAAGAAGAAATAAAATTTAACTGGAGTGGTTAGCAAATATATGAGAGCAACACAAAAGCATAATTTTACTTAATTATCAAAAAACAAGTACCATAGATATGCTTCAATGTCAGGCCCAACTGCAAACAACATGGACCAGGATCTGCCGTTGCTTAACATTTATACAACAGTATATCTGGGTCTATGCAATTGCACTTGGATCTAACTTATATGCTAGTATACAAAGTAATTTTTGCTCTGATGCATTCTGTACAATACAGAAAAAGAAAATAGAATTTAACTAGTGACCTAAAGTTCTCATTCAAAATATTATCACTTAAGACAATTGTCCTACATATTGTCTATATGTGCAGATAAGTTTAATCCAACTGCAAATTGCAGTCCTAGATCTGCTGTCACATAATGTAACAGCCAATAAGGATTCAACTTAAATGCAAGTGCCATCACTTTTTGGTGATGTGCTTAGTCGTGACAGTATTTGGGGTGGTGGGTGCAGGCAACGCGATGGGTGCCATGTACTTGCTTACTCTGTAGAGTATGAATTTAATTTCTCTTACCTGTATGATAGTATTGTTTGCATTAAAATATTTATTCTGCTCACTATTATCAAGATTCTACTACAGAATTCAGGGATAGCACATAGGAATCTGGAATGACTGTTATATATATATATATATATATATATATATATATATATATATATATATATATATATATATATATATATATATATATATATATTGTTGTTCTTGTAGGGTTTGACCCATTGTTCAGGACAAGATAGGCTATACATGGTATACATGGTGGTTAGTACTAATTGGTAGAGGAAGAACCCCTTAAAACCCTAGAAACAACCACGGTCATAGGAGAAGCTACTGGCATGCTTTCTCACATAACCACATTTGCTGAACCTGAGACTCAAGCTTATGCAGACAGAGAAGATGGCAAACAATCCATAATGGTGAGTTCTTTAGAACACTCAGTCACTGTGGACATATATAACCCATGCACAATGGGGTCCACAAACACAGACCGCACTATAAGCGAGGGTACATGTAACCATGGGTCCTGCAAAATGACAGTTTCATTAATAAAAACTTCTTTACATGTTGTTAATTGCAGTGTATTAAGGATGATGTTTGGAAAAAAAGTGTAAAAATTTGTATGAATTATTTTTAAATTTGATATTTCATAATGTTGATTAAAATTTCCACTTCCTATCTATTTTTTGATGATTAAATGAAAGTGTCTGTAACAAAATTTTGAGCACAATTCTCTTCAACAAATTGGGTCAATTTTGGGTGTATTATCTGGTTTTAAAAATGGGATACACCTCTGACACCGTGTTATAAGTGGGTTTGAGAGTTATCAGGGTGTGAGTTATCAAAAGAGTGGTGTAGTGGTGTGTGTGTGTATGTGTATGTGTGTGTGTACATGTGTGTGTATATATATATATATATATATATATATATATATATATATATATATATATATATATATATATATATATATATATATATACTTGAGAAGAGTTACATTCCTTTTAAAAAACTTTAGAAGAATCTTTCTTGTGATTTTTATATATATATATTATTTCACATTTATAACTCTGACATCCATCTCATGATTCTAATACTTCATTTTTAGATATGAATTGAAATTTATCTCACAACCTGAACCACTTCCAATGCAATCTGTCATATTTTGAAGCGAAATGAAATCGGTCTTTCAACTTGAGAAATTTCTGATTCAAGTTATCATATTCAGAAATAATTGAAATCTTGAAGCATTTCTAATGCAATCTGTCTTATTTAGAACTGAACTGAACTCTTTCTCTAAATCTGAAGCACATCTAATGCAGTAGCATGTGTCTGCTTTTGGAAGGATAAAGATTTTCTTTCTGCAAAAAGCTGAAGCAGGATTTTATGCAAATACATGTCTTGGCCACAACATCTGAGACAAGTGATGAAAGGGGGATATGGGGTGTGTTTCCAAATTAATATAGCTATGAATATTAAGCAGCATCAATAAAAAAAATGAAGAATAAAATATCACATAAATGTTACCTAAGAAAATCTGGTAACCTGTGGAAACAAGGAATAAAGAACTCTTAATCTGTGACAATAACTATTTATGAAAGGAGGAAATAATGGCACCAAATTACAGCACGTGTAATCATATAAGCATGTACAATATTTTTTTTGCAAGGTCTGGTAACCATCGGGTGATAATGCTATAAATATTGTGACCAAGTTCCTGGAATCTTCAATACCTAACTGGTGAATACTGGAACTCCAAATACTACATATATTGCCACTAAATATGACACAAGGTGCTTTTGTTTAATCTTATTACAGCGTTTTTATATTACATATCAAAAATTAAATTACTAAAAAGCATTAGGCTTTATTGATATATGTCAACTTTGAAATAATGTATTATGGTATTACTTTTACTAGAAATTGCAGATTGAACACACATAATATATAATAGAGATTTTGGATTTGACTCAGTATCAGTATTTTAATGGATATTTTGTCCATTGTAAAAAAATTGCTTTTGAAGCTTCCATAAAACAAGCATGCACAAAATATGCATATGACAACAATTCATATAAAAAACAAAATAAAAAAAGTAAGAAGACACTTAAGAAAACTTTAGTGTGAATATCTGATAAGATGTTTTGTAGATGAAACTAAAAGCAAGATGAAACATTAAAACTGCATAAAATATACTTAGAAGATACAAATACATTACATATCAAACATATATATATACTTAATATCTACTGGTATGCTGAATATATATTGTTATTCTGAATATATGTTGGTATACTTAATATCTATTGGTATTCTGAACAGTTATTGGTATACTGAATGTCTACTCTATACTGAATATCTGTTGTATACTGAACATCTATGGCATACTGAATATCTCCTGGTATACTGACTATCTGCTAGTATAATGAATATATATTGACATTTTTGTGAATTTGTTGATCCAGTACAAACAAGTTGTTGTTGTTGTTGTTGTTGTTGTAGGGTTTAACGCCATTTTTCAGCACAAGATAGGCTATACATGATGGCCAGTATTAATGGTGGAGGAAGAACCCTGGAAACCACCGGGAAGAACCACCAACCCACGAGAAGCTACTGGCAGGCTTTCTCACTTACCCACAAACTTACAAACAAGTCAAAAATGGCAAATGCATATCAATGGATAATGGTAATGTATACATTTTGTGTGAATTTGTTGATCCAGTGAAACAAAAGTCAAGTCAAAATGGGTTAATAAATATCTGTTGGAACACAGTTTAGGTGGACTTGTTAATCCAGTTGAACCAAGTCTAGTCAAAAGTTTCTTGCCAAACCAGAACAACACATTTGATTAAAATATTATAAATAACTTCTAAATGTTATTAACCATCAGAAAAATTAATA